TCGGAGTTATCGATTAGTCACCTACGAAACTCCAAGCCATCGATCGAGCGACCAGAAAACTCCTGACCATGCACCACACCCACCATCCGAAGACTGCCATTGAAAGACTACCTTCCGAGATGCAAGGGAGGGAGGGGACTCATCGAACTCGAGTCCCTCTACAAGTGCACGACATGTGAAGTCGCTAGATTCATTGAAAGGAAGCAGGGACAACTAATTTCCATCCTGAGAGAGTGCGATGCCCTGAAGAAATCCCACTCCATCCAGGGAGATGCCAGCCGCTTCCAAAACTAACTTCATCTCGATGACGACTGCGACATGAAGGATGTGAAGACGGCAGACCAAGTACAAAGAGAGGCTTGATGGAAGGAGAAACCGCTTCACGGCCAGCATCCCAAGATCATGGATAAATCATCCATCGACTCAGACTTATAACTGGCTGAAGAAGGGACTGCTGAATGCCGAGACAGAGAGCAACATCCTAGCCATTCAGGACCAGTGCATTAGAACTCGTAACTACAAGAAGCACATCCTGAAGCTGGATGTGGAAGACTGCTGCAGACGCTGTCATGGACCACCTGAAACGGTTCACCACCTCCTCAGTGCCTACCCCGAACTAGCACTGAGGGAGTACCTGCACAGGCACAACCAGGTGTGCAAATATGTGCACTGGTGTGTCTCCAAGCAAGCCGGCCTGGAAATCCCAGATAAGTGGTACGAACACCAGCCAGATTCTTTAGTGGAGAACTCCTCTACCAAGATACTATGGGACATGCCTATAATTACAGACTGCACCATAGGCTGTAATAGACTGGACCTCACAACCTATAAGAAGGAGAAGACTGGCCTCCTCGTAGATGTGAGCATCCCAGCTGATAACAACCTCCAAGAGAGGACCAGGGAGAAGCTGGAAAAATACTCCGAATTGAAAGTGGAAGTAGAACAGTTGTGCAGAATGAAGACCACCATCGTTCCGATCATCATTGGCTCAACTGGTGTCATCCTGAAAGACCTCAAGGGGCATGTCAGGAAGCTGGAGTGTGAAATATCACTCGATATCCTCCAGCGTACAGCAATCTTGGGCATGGCCAGCATCCTTCACCGTGTCCTTCAGAATTAGGCGAGTATGAGGTCTGGGATTTGGTTCATCCCCCCTCATATCTCCAATACCGGCAATTGCTGTGAAAGGATTTATTTATATATATATATATACGAATGGAATCTCAACTGTGAAGCCTGCAGCCCTATTTCACATGTGATTGAGACGTTGAGGCTTGATCTAATGATTTCAAATCACTACAAAAGTATTTCTCAACTATTATCTTGAATGTGCTTTTTGAAGCATGATTTCATGTCTATATTGCACTTGTACCTGGAATACTTTAATTGGGCATTTTCATGCAAGATAATTAGATGCCTGGATATTCTAGACAAGCTGACCAATTCTGACATTCCACACTAGTTCCTGACCCTGTGGTGTGGTTATCACTCTGCAGGTTTCACCAGGGAAAAAAACCTCTTTGCCCAAACCCTGCTGAGCTGGTGTCATCTGTACTTTCACCAATGCTTATCACCTTAATTAATGATGATTTATGCTCAAACATGGATAACTATATGATATAGAAGCGTGCAGATGACATAGCTGTCATAACAAATATCTCTAATGCTCAGGACATGGATAATTATCAAAACCTAGTCAGCCACATCTCTGGTCAAGGAAGCACTGCCTTATTCTGAATCCCATACATTCATAAGAACTGATGTTACATTCAAGTATGCTGAAGAACTGTGTTCAACTGGAGGTATGTGAGATGAGGATCAGCATAGATGGAACTACCCTCACTCCCTGTGAGTCCATCAAGTATTTTGTTGTAATCATGGACCATCAGCTGATCTTCAGTCAACATATAGACTTCTTGTTCAAAGGAAGTTATATAAAATTTTTCTATGCAGTACTGCTATTGAGGGTGTGCTGTAGTTCCAACATGGTTGAGGACTTTCTGTCTCACTGCATTATTCCATATTTTCTCTACTATGTTCCAATTGTTTTGGTATATGCAAGAAAAGAAGACAAAACTTTTATTCATCTCATACTTTGATGACTGGCATACATCATGTGCTGTCATAACCTTGCAGCTGTTGGAAACCAGGGTGACTGAGCAAGTTAAGCAGTAGCCCTGCATATTTGGGACAAAGCCTATGATCCAAACCACTATCTCAACAAAGTGACATCAATCTGTGATCTCCAACACAGATACAACTTGCATCAAAAGACCAGCATTCCAGTAGCAAAGAAGTTATACCATGAGTTACTCTTATTCAGAATAGCAAGAGGAAACATTACGAGGGCCCCCCCAAAAGTTTCTGGGGTCTGTGCCTTAAAATAACTTTTTTCCAATGACCTTCTGCCATTTTGTTCTTTATTGTTCCAGGGTATTTCATGCCAAATTTTGTGAGATTTCTTGAAAATGTCTGGTCGTGAGCTAAGACAAAAGAGACCTAACTCCATGGTGCTACCTGAACCAAGCTGTGAAGAATTTCAAGCCATGATTTTGTATGATTGGAAGTGTGGTCTCACTGCTAAGGAAAGCCATGACCACCTTATTTCTGCCTGGGGTGATGATGCCCCATGTCAGGAGACTGTGAATACCTGGTTCTGAAATTTCAAGACAGGTCACTTTGGGCTGAAGGACTCCAATCGTGATGGGCGCCCTGCAGCTGCCACTGATGAAAGAACTGTTGCCACCATTGAAGAGATGCTGAAGGATGATCTGCAAATCACCTATGGAAAAATGCACATGGCCCTAGGGATTGGAAACTTAGCCATACAAACTATCTTGCATGAAAAGCTTCAGCAGAGATGGGTTTCAGCCCATTGGGTCCCTCATCTCTTGAAAGAGCATGAAAAAGCAGCCTGCATGGAGTTCTGCCAGTTCATACTTCAAAGATTCGACAAGGGGCGCTCTCCTGATGTATATAAGATCATCACAGGTGACAAAACTTGGGTCTATCATTATGACCCTGAGACCAAGCAGCAATCATCGGCATGGCTTCCAAAAGGGCAACCTCCCCTAAAAAACTGCCAGGTCAAGTCCAGGTTCAAGGTCATGTTTGCCATTTTTTTCACCAAAAGTGGCTTGGTGAAGGCAGTACCACTGGAAAATGGGCAAACTGTGACTGCCGAGTGGTATGCAAAAGTTTGCCTGCCAGCAGTGTTCAATGCCCAAAAGGAGAGGTGGAAAAAGTGCAGCTTGAAGGGGATGGTGTTGCATCATGACAACACCCCAGCTCACAAGGCGAGGTTGATAGAATCTGAGTTGGAGAAATGGTAAATGAAAGAGCTGCCACATCTGCCATATTCCCCAGACCTCGCTCCTTGTGACTTTTGGTTGTTCAGTGAAATGAAGCAGGAGCTGCGAGGGATCGAGTTTTGTGAGGAGGAACAAATGAAGAAAAGCGTGGATGGGGTCCTGGCATCCATTGAAACCATGCATTTCAGAGAGTGTTTCAAAAAGTGGTTCAAGTGCATGAAAAAGTGCATCATTCGATCTGGAGATTATGTTGAAAAGTCATGAATAAGTGATGGTCCTGAAGCAAGAAGCACTTTGTCATAGCATCTATTTATGGCATCAAACCCAGAAACTTTTGGGGGTGGGGGTTTTACAGCATAATACCTCGTATTATGCTGTAAAATTGTTACCCATGTGATTTGGACCATAAAGTTAGATCTTTAGTAGAGATATCAATAGGACCCTATAATCTTAGTTACTAAAAGATCTGCTGGGAGATCGACTCCTTTGGAAGCTAAACAATTCATAGAAGCTATCTTCAATTAACAAATTAATGAAATTTTGCCAGTCACAATCAATCACATCTGCCTTCTCATGATAAAAGTAAAAACTATGTATTGCAACTGGAAATGCCTCAGGCTTAGAACTTTTTGAACCAACCCTTGTATCTAGTTGATTCTAATTTACAAACAACTGTGCCATAACTGCTGCTTCATCTTAAATCTGTAATTTCTTATAGTTTAGATACAATTTTTGCTTTTTTTGAACTAATCCCCATTGCTTGTACTTGCAGTTTCTTTCATTTTGAGCCTCCAGTTTGTAGCTAGCTCTTAAATTCTCTGATGTTTTGCTTCATATCCTTGAGACTTGGGGAGGGAAAGTCAATCGATCAGTAGAGACAGGTTCCATTCTGATCAGTCAGTGTATTTTCAGTGGTATTCTCCCTCAGCTTATTGAAGAGTTTCCCATTTTTTAAGTGACATCATGAGTTGATGGTCTGAGGACTATTAATTCATGATGGGGGCATATTTTACCTGTTTCACTTGATTAGTTTGGTCAGTTGTGTCTCAGAGCATGCTTTATCACTTATTTTATTCAATTTCTGTATTCTGATTTCATCCTGAGATGGCAGCATGGCAGAGACCATTAACCCTTTGCACTTGGTTGTCAAGTGTGGCCCGACAATGTCCATAGCATTATGAGAAAAATGGAGTGCAAAGGGTTATTCTTCTAAGCCTTGGTGATGCAGTTTGATCTAATGGTTAAGGAGCTCTATGTGGGGTACATCTTTATTGGTGAAGGTACCAGTCAGAAAATAGCTTGACTAATTGATATCAAGGATAACCTTTTTTTTTGCCCAATATTGTGTAAAAGTATTTCTTAAACTTTTTCCCATTTTGACCTCAGTTTTAACTGGAATTTTTCTATACTCAAGTTTAGAAGGAATGCCAATTCCCTGCAAGTCATCTGACTGGATTATCTAAAGCAAATTTATATGCACTATTGTAAGGTAGAATCAGAAGGAATACAAAATTGAGAAGCAAACCCACTTTTGAATGGAGCCACACCATCCCAGTTGGGGCCTTCTATGTCAATTTTAGCAAAATAAAGAAAATCCTTTCTCATCCCTCATTGTCCTACTGGATGGTGAGCATAAGAGGCAGAAAGGCGTGAACTTTACTTGTCTGGTTTCTTTTCTCCTGTTTCAAGTAGACTCACCAGGGGTACCGCCGAGTGCAACAGCCCACGAGCTGTTTCGTGGCTTCAGCTTTGTTGCCCCCATCTTCCTTGAGACGAGCAACATCCCAGCTAAACCCGCCCAGCACCTCATTGAGACCAAGGTCTGCGTTGAGTTCCCTTACCCCTTGGTTTCTTTAAGGTTTCTTTAAGAGGTGCAGCAGTATTAGCAGCTGAAAAAAGTCAGAAAAATTATTTGCTGATTCTAATTAAAGTTTTCCCAACTACATTTGGCATGAACTGTTCCAAGTTCAGGCTCAGTCACTTCAATTTCAGCAGGGTGCTTCCTTCCATTTGCTCTTCTTATTCAATTTCAATAAGTTTACATATGAATTTTGGCATTGTCCATTTCAGTTTTTGCAGCATTGGGAATCTGTTTCTGGTGTCTGAGCATGGCAGGCATAGTAAAAACTCATTAACTTGAATCCTGATAAGTCAAAATTCCACTTATCTCGAAGTTCAATGCTTGTTCCCAGCTGAATCCTGTAAGACACCATGTTAAATATTCCATTTAACTTAAATTCACGTATCTTGAATTTCCTGATATTTTGAACAACATTTTCACTCTTAATCACAATTTTCTCATGGTTAACTCGAAACTGGGGTGTGAAGGGGGGAAAAATTATTGTGGGACCTATCTATTTGTTGAATAGGTGAAAGGCAAGAAACCTGTTTGGGAGAAAATCCTTTTGTTTTTGTTTTTTCTGCTTCTCCCTCCTCCCTCACAGATGCCTGTGGAGAGGATTAAACCTGAAGATGAAAACCAAAAAGCTTCTGCTATAAAAAGAAGCAACCTCTAGCACTTTCTGTCTGTCTATCACTCTCACTTCCAGTTATTCCAGTAATATTTGGTTCCCAGAGTACTGGATGAAGGACATTGTGATAATGAATTTTGCATATGGAGTATCAAAGTTTCCCTAGACACAAATAAAAGCCAATTATAATGAGAAGTTCGTTGCTCCTTGAAATTGGATTCTTGAGGATGGAAAAATTTCCCTGTTATATCCCTTAATGTCAGTATTTTTTAAATGTATTTTCGGTAGAGGTGATTCCTGATAAGTTGAACTTTGGATAGCTTGAAACAATATGCCTTGTCCCAGAAAGTTTGAGTTAATGAATTTTCACTGGAAAAGAGAAACATATTTGTACATTATGACTCATGAGTTGGTTTCTGGAGAATTAAGGATTAATTAAGAATTTTATCTTGCATTTAACAAAATTTATTTGACTATATTCTCATATATTAACACAAACCATAGAGCTATGAGACTGTTTGGCAACTTGTTTGGCATTCAGCTCTCAGCACAGCTCAAGACAGCTCCTCACAGTGACAAACTTTGGCACAGACCTCTGGATTAAGGACCTCTGGACCTGCTTGATTTTTTTCTTTGTGTTTAGCAAGAGTCTTTGGTTTTGTTGTGTTTACTCTTTCCTTGACAAATCTCCACAATAAAGTTCATCAGTGTTACGTCACACGATCATTGAGGCGTTGCCTCACTGTGCATTCATAGTGGCCAAGTGCTTCATCCTGCATGAAACACAAATTTTTTATGTGCTGGATTGCAGGGTACAGACAATCCTGCAATATATTCAGGTAAGAATCTCCAGTGACTGTCTCTTTAAAGAAAAAGAGACCCATGATACTACCACTCCAGATGCCAGCCCAGAACATGTCACCCAGGGAGTTCAGTGGTGCCTCTTACATAGCATGAGGGATTGTAGCTTGTAGATATTGTAGCCTGTAGTGACAGGATATTGTAGCTGCAAATGATGCAGTTGTGCCCATTCACTTGCCTATTCAGCTTGAAGGAGCTTTCATTTCTTCATAAGACCCTGTCTTGCAGAGTGGGGTTTGCATTTCATTTGTTCAGCCAGGTCTCACAGAACACCTTTCACTGGTCATAACTACTGTATCTTCATTGAGACTTTGAACCAACATGGGACAAAATGGCCTTAATTTAAAATTATGTAAAATGTGCCAGACAATTAAATGTTCTGGTTCCTGTGCCTCACATGTTTCCAGTTCTCTTCTGTGCAGGCAGATCTTTTTCTCCATGAACTTGGCAGATCAGCAACACTACTAGTCTGGTCAAAACATTTGTTCAGTAAGAGGATAGTTTTCTTTGCAGGAGGCTTTTTGTTGAAAGCTTTACGCCACTTTCTTTGCACTTCTGCAGCATTTTGTTTAAGAAAAAAAGCACGAACACCCCAGACCCATTCTTAGCTAGTTAAACAGTACTCCTTCTTTTGAAGCAAGTGCAGCATTATGGGTATTGAAGAGAGTTAAGTGACACATAATTTGAGGTTGATACCATTGTTCTCTGTTGCATGGTTATGACATTACAGTACAGGGTGGACACAAAGTCCCTGACGATTTCAAACCTTTATTATGACACCATTTTTTAATCAACACCAAGGTTATTATACATCAATTGAAAGCTTAACTCATGAGGTTTTTAACCGTTGTCGCATAATGAAAATCGCAGTAGTGGTAATTTTTTTATCTGCCAGATGGCACGCCGATCTACTTTTGAGATCGCGTGCGCTTCATTTTTCCCCGCCTAAAATTGACTATCACTCCTGAAACATTGAAAACTCTCCTTAATGAACTTCGACATGACCTCCATTAGTGGCACAACAGATGGTTTGTTGATTTGGGCATCTGCAAACTTTCACTAGCGCGACGCAGGTTGGACTATCCTGAAATGCATTTTGTACACTTCCAACATCTTGTTCAGTGACACTTGGCCTGCCATTGTGATGGCGATCTTTAACGCTACCTGTTTCGACGAACTTTCAATGCCAGTCAATAATGGAGACTCTGGAGGGAGCATCTCTGACTTGAACATTTAATTCTCTTGTGAATTCATGTTGCACTTGAGTTGCAGACTCAAATTTTGCATACCAAAGGACACACTGTTCTTTTTGCTGCGTTGTGAACATGTTTCAGGAGTGACCATCAATTCTGAGTGGGAAAAAGCGAAATGTGCGTGATCTCAAAAGTGGATCAACTCGCCATCTGGCAGATGAAAAAATTACCACGATAGCGATTTTCATTCTGTGGCAACAGTTAAAGACCTCATGAGTTAAGCTTTCAATTGATGTATAATTGGTGTTGATTAGGGAATGGTGTTGTAATAAAGGTTTGAAATCGTCAGGGACTTTGTGTCCACCCTGTATAAGCATTTCATTTTGTTTCCATAATTATGGGACACCCTACTCTATGGAACGTTTCTATTCCCAAAAATTAACTCACTAGTCATGACATGTGCAAATATGCTTCTGAAAAGGGCCTCTACTAAAAAGGAAAGTGCAGCTGCTGAATTGAAGTGACCACTGACAAAATTTTTATTTGAATTTTGAATATCATCTGGAAAACCTCTGTGAAGTTTTGTAGAGGTTGTGATTACATGCTGAGTCTTAGTGGTGAGATGTATCAAGTGAATCATTTTTAGGTTCCTTCCTCATTTCCTCTAAATGAAGGAAAAAATGAAAATGGAAGTTTACATGTAGTTTATTCAAGAATTTGTCAGAATTTGCATCTTTGTATCTGCATGTGCTTGTAATGAACTCAAGTCTACTATTAATATACAGCTATATCTAGCAAATCAATCATTGATATTGCTTAAATGTTTTTGCACCTCAGCTTGCTCTCCTGGTTTTTTATTGCATTATTTTCAAGTTCTCTTACTTCTGTCTCATGTGGAGACTTTTTTTTAATTCAAGTGGCTTCAGCTGGCCCTTGAGGTTTTTCTTGCTCATGTTTTATAAGTCTCAGGGCAGTACTTTTCTTTTATTCTTATTTCACTTGTATTCACCAATTCTTTCACCAAATGTGCCTTTATGTTGCTTGTTTTTTCACCATTCATGGTTTGTGGGTGGGGAGGATGCATCTTAGTTTGGAGTGGGTATGAATAATTTATTCAAACAGACGGTGTTGTGTGCAAAGCCGACCCTCATCACAGAGGAGTATGAACTGAAAGAAGAAGTTGGACGTGGTTCCTACTCCATCTGCCGCCGTTGCATCCATAAGGCTTCCCAGCAAGAATATGCTGTCAAGGTCTGTCCATGGCATGCTTCATTCTTGTGAACTTCTTTCTGATTGTAGGATATTGCATAGTGGCAGTGTGAGAACACTTATGAAGATTTATGTTGTGTATTCTTTAACTCTGACAGAATGAAGTCAGTATTATGCATTGAAGGATTTTGGTGCTTCAACATTATGGGAAGTTTTCCGAAGGTTCTTGGTATTTTAAAAATGATAGATGAATGGGATTGCATTTATACAACATATAGGTACAGTAGTTCCTATTCCTTTTCTTCAACCCCTCCTCATTACAAAATTCCCCCTACTCATATTCCTCTCTGAGAACATCTGAAAGAGTGAGATTGGCCTCGCTTTTTATCTCTCTCTGAATGCTGGATAGCTCTAGTAAATAAGAAGCTACATCTCTCCAGGGTTACAGAGAACAAAGAATTTCCTTCTTTTTTTTATTATAGGATATGAATTATATTTCAGAATTTTCTCCTCCCCTTGGAGGAGGAAAACCTCCCCCCTACCTTAGGGGAGTTTCAGAGTAGATAACCCAACCAAAAGACATATTGATTGGTAAGTGAGATACATACCCTCTTTGTTGTTGATGCTCCATTTCGCAGTGCAAAATGAAATCAGCTGTTGTATATTTAGACTTATTGTGTGGGCTCCAGTTCCATGTCCCACAGTTGTCAGATATCATGCTGGAGTTCTTTTTTCTGATTTATTGTCAAAGATTGAGACATTCCGCTGGGAAAATTGTTTCTTAAAGTCGATATTTCAGGAAAAAAAAAAAAAACAGGAAGATCCTTTAGGCCCTAATTAGTCATATAACTCAAGGATTGAGATTCTTCATAGACCAAAATATGTTGTCTTTATTTCAAAAGTTATTCTGTACATCTTTTGACTCGTGCAGTTTTCAATTACATCCAGTTTCTATTCTTTTTCTTCATTTTAACCTATTCACTGCTGCCTTGAAATTAGCTCATTTAAGGGGAGACTATGAGCAAAAATTGTAATACACATAAACACATATTGCATACAATGACTATTTCTCAAATTACTCCTACAATATTGGTGCCAGAAACATTAAATTTTGCATGGACACTCAGAAATGACAAACCTGGAATGTGTTGGTACCAGCTTTGAGGATTTTTATTTTGTATGGCTGAAGTAGGGAACTAAGAGGCAACTGCCATCAAATTGTTTAATCACATGACAGAAATTGCTCATTTTTCCTTGGAAAAATAGAAAAATTCACTTTTTTGCTCTCAACAATCTATAGCTATATGTTTTATCATGGAGTCCTATGAATTTGAAGAAATGTGGTTGATTTTTTTAGCTGTGGCTTGGGAAATGCCAGATGTACTAATATTTTAGCTTTTTGAGAATATCTGAGAAACCGCTGGAGCTTAAAAAAAAATTATGTTGAAAAATGATCTTTGGAATCTAAGCTTTTCAATGGTACCAATGAATTTTACTTTCTGCAAAGCATCTCAATTTAAATTTTTTGCTCGTAGTCTCCCTTAATGCCGTGTGCTACAGGGAATAGGAAAAACAGCCAAATGTATATTTAAATCAGGGTTGCACAAAATGGATATTTCCTAAGGCATTTTGTGTGCTGTACTTTGCAAACGCTCTTTGCACACCCCTGATTTAAATTAAATAAATTGATAAAGTCATGACACATTAACTTGTCAAGTTAGTGCACAGCAAATCAGGGTATGACTTGTAAACACATCATGTATGCAGTGAATGGGTTAACTTCCATAATTTTTTTAATAATGAAAGATGAAAACAATTCACAGCAGGCAATTACATTCTTCCGATGAAAAGATGATATAGGAGTGATGCACAAAAATTCTGATGAATTATCTTATGACTTGGCAAGTTCTTCAGAACTTTCCGTACATCCCTTGTGCACCCCTTTTACACTTTCCTTCCACAAGAAAAATGTGATAGCCTGTTGTGGAATTCAAAAATTGCCAGAACTTCAGGAACACTTCTTTCATTAAATCCTGATCAATCCAAATATTACTGATGGTGATGGAAAAAGTATTGACAAAAACTTAATAGGAGTGATCCCATATTCAAAGGCATATACTGCTGAGTTCCAGGAACAAATGAACCTTGATTTTCAAGTTATTTATCATGGACACTGCCTGTGGTAACTCTTAACCCTGCATTCCATCATCACCTGTTTATTTCTCAGGCTTCACATTTCATAAGAAATGCCTGATCACTGATTTTGTTGATTTCTTACACGCAGATAATCCCAAAGCAACCAAATAACTCTCAGGAGTTGCAGAAGAATTGCCAGGAGGAGGTGGAGATCTTGCTGCGATATGGGAACCACCCCAACATCGTTACCCTCCGAGATGTAAGTGTCCATTGATAGTTTTCTTTGCTGGATCCTGCAAAAAAGTATGGTCCCTCCTTGTGCCCTGTTTGAATAGCAATGAAACCAATTCCAATATTCTCAAACTTCATCTTCTCCCTGTGGACCATTTTGGGCAAGATTCATTCTTTAAATATCACAATTTCATTTGAATGATGGAAAAATGGATAGTTTCACATGCCTCTGTGCTACACCCATCCTGCTTACTAATGTCTGAAAATCATCTGCTGATTTAGAATTTAAGTCAGAACTGGCGGGTGAAGTCCTCCACGTCATTTAAACCCCAACACGCCGAAATTAAATTTCCCATGTACGAACCTTCTGCCGGATTTTCTTCAGACATTTAAATGAAATGCAAAGTGTCTTAGAAAATAACCATATCTACGAAACTACAAATGGCAGAGGAACAAAATTGTCGTGGGAATTCTTTGTTCCAATATTTCATTCAAAAGTGCTTGGTATGTCATTTCTAAGGACAACAAATTCGAAATTGGCACTGGATGGCTTGTAGAGATATGAATATTTGACTGCAGCAGTAGTGCCAGAATTCCACTTGTTCCAACAGTTTGACCGACTTCGGTGACCGAAATCTGAACGTACCCCTCCACGAATCCCGGGATGTATGCTTCAATGAAAAGTACTTGTTATGCCCTTTCTAAGGATATGAAATTCAAGGTTGGCATTTAATTGCTTCATGAGATATGACCATTTAACTACACCAACAGTGCACCGTTAGCTGCATCTGGGAATAGCATTCGCAAACTTTCAATGAATTGATTGATCAAGTGCAACTTCTGGCTTTAGCTTCGGAGATTGCTGTTTAAAAACAATTTAAAGATGACAAATTCGTAATTAAAATGACGCCAGAATGAAGCTTGTATCTTCACCAGAGTAGAAGTTATTGCAGAAACAGTTTCCCAGTTTCCAGTCCGTATGGGCACCAGGAACGAAGATATGTTACATTCAATTGCATATATCTGGAGATCTGTGCAAGAGATAAAAGAAAAATTTGGTTGCCTCTACGTGTATGCCGATTTTCGTGAAAATCCAAGATGGTCGAGCTTATGCTCTGGTCGATTTGGCGTGGTGTATGGCCCAATTGTATTTCATTTTCTCTATTAAGCTGGTTATTTGAGTTTCAATTCCTTTTTCAAGTATAAATTACGATGAACTATTTGCTGAATATAACGGAACATTACCTGCAAGACAGGTTTTACTTTCCAACGTTACCAATTTTGTTCCTCTGACGTGTATAGTTTCGTAGATATGGTTATTTCTCTAAGATACTTTGTATTTTATTTTCATGTCTTGAAGAAATTCCGGCAGAAGGAAAACACGGGAAATTCAATCCCTGTGCGTAAAGGTTAAAGACCGAAACAAGCCGTCAAGCTTGTTTCGAGCGGCTTGTTTCGGTTGCTTTCACAATCAAGAGTCTTTCTGGATCCCTCATCTAGTTATAGATATCACCTCGTCGTAGCGGTGGTCCTTAGGAGGTAGCGAGAATGTAAAAATCTCAGAAAAGTAGGTATATCAATTTCGCTTATATCAGAAGAATCTGCAATAATCTGCAAGAAACTCTACCGGCTCGCAAGCGACGGTAAGTAAGCCCTACGCACTATCCTAGTTTGAAAACAGAATTCTGCGGAATGACTTTAAAATTTAAACTCAGTAATTTTTCCGGTAGAAAAATAAGAGGTTTTACTCAAGCTAAGGATTAACACATTTTTCCTACAAGTGATAGAAGGATCATAATAGTATGATAACTGTGGCAAGGTAATAAGTTGATCATCATGATTTCATAATGCTAATTTTAACTTACCAGCAGCTTCAGCCACCTTGTTCAGTGATTTCACTAAAACGTGACATCGACCATCAAAAAGTACGCAGACATATTCTCTACTAGAGCACTATCTAGTGACGAGAATAAATATCACCGGAATAAGTCGTTACCTTTTCAATCGTTTTCCATCAATGATGGTCACTATCTCTGATTCTTATTTCAGAGGGGAAAATTATTTTTGCGCATCGCTGGCCGACTGTGCAGTGTCGGGCAACTGCCTTCCATTATGCACAGCTCCATATGCAAATACGTTGAAAGTAGAGGCCTAATATCCTGACTGAATATATGGACAGGTAATACTGTGTAGGGTCACCCCCAACTATGTTGTTCCATAGCAATAAAAAATCCACTTTTTACTCTCTGCCAGAAGTCCCTTCATGCAAACCATAAAGGTTGAAAAAGCAAGCTCTTTCACCATTTCTTTTCTGTGATGCTTGAAACATTCTGATTTTCTAATGGTGTGTTCAAATTTCAATCCCACATTTGATTATCTCATGTCCATTTTTTTCTGGAAAAACTAGATGTTGTGCTGTTAAGAGGCACACCAAAATGTTCCTTTCTAGTTGTAGTCTGGATTCCTTCCCCCCATTTTTTAAAATAGAATTTCATTCCCAGGACCAATCCTGATGCATTGGTGGTTACGGATAAGATTAACCACAAGAGCAGCACAGCATGCAAATGAACTTGGAGACATGCATTGCAGAATTGCAAGTCTGTGACGGTCATTTGGCACTGGCATGAGCTACTACTGTTGCATTTGAATTTCCTTTTGCCTCATGGTTTTCATTTGAAATTCAATTTCCTTGTTGCATTTGATTTTATTTCCATATTTGACTTGAAAAACCTATACAGTAAGTCTTTAATTTACGTCGCGGATGAGTTCCCAGAAAACACGAAGTAAAACGAAGCGTCGTAAATCGAAACCTATTTTCCCATGGACTAAGTTATATACAGAAGTCCTCGATTTACGACGTTGTATGTTACCGACATTATATCGAAACGACGTAAATCGGGAACTTCCTGTATTTCCCAGATTGTGCACAGTATAGTTTCTTCTAGGCCTGTACCGATGTATCGGCTACCACCTGTATGGTAACTTGGGGGAATATGGCCATTGGGGTAATATGGCCCTTCACAATGAATCACAGACTGAATAATAAGTTTGGGCGAATTTAAAAAATAGTTCTATCGAAGAGTACATGCAATTGTCGAAGTATTTTAGACATTGATCCAGTTCATTGATCCAGTTCTTACAGGAATTCGGGATACATCAATGTCTTGAAAGTCATATGCATGCGATTCTTTGACTCATGACTGAAACTAATATGAGCCTTGAGCAACTTAAGCATACATTTCCTAANTGATTTTTTTTTGGCACTATTTATCAATGCATGCAAAAACGACGCAACTTTTTCCTGAAATGTAAGACCTCTTATTTTACACTCGTAGCGCATGTTCACTTTAATCTATGCTTGATCACTCCTCTTACACCCACAGTCTCTAGATATAGTCTCACACTCCGTGCAATGTTACTCAAAAGCAAAAGCGGTGCAATCCTGCTTTCCACAAAGGATCCTCGAGTCATGTAATGATGTCGACTTCTTTGTTTGCCCTCAATGCAGTTAGTGTTTCTTTTTCAACTGCTGAGAATCATTTATTATGTTTCAAGGCACTCAGCATGTTCCAGCATATTTCACACATTCCTGGAAAACCTGGAGTTGTTTTTTCGGAAGTGGCCATATTCCCCCAACTTTAGGGGTAGTAGGGCCTCTTGGGACCAATTCGAAAAAGATCCAAAGGCACCATATCCAGGGGGTTTTTTGCATATGCCTTACTGAGACTTAGTAAAGGAGATATCAATCAATATTTTAGAAACATTGTAAAAGTCAAATTCGACCTTGATGGGCCGTGATGACCAGCTTTCATTTTGTAGGGCCATATTCCCCCAAATTACCTTATCGGCCACCGGTGTGCACTATCGGGGCCATCAGCCATCGGCAAGTTTGCAAGCTGCCGATGCCTAAAGGAGAGGCAAAACTTTGGAGGAAAATAGAGCGAACATGTGAACCCGAAAAATATCGATCGGATTATATTTCAACCCTATTCTAGGAACTGGCGGAGGAAAATAGCGGTAAAGAAGGGAAATCATTGCGCTTCCTTTCATGCTATGTTTTTGCGAGAGATGTGTCGTTGAACGCTCTTAACAGCAGCAATAGGTAACAAGCTAACCACTGACGGACACCGGCAGACAGTACTAAATATGGTCTCTATCGTTTTTAGGGGGCCCCATGGCTTCCAATTAGGCATGTTTAAATTAGTATGCCATTTCTTGTTACTTCTTTATTTTCAAACGACAATCGGCACCGGCACCGGCCGATGGTTGTGAGGTGAAAATTCGCCACCGACCAAAGGTGGCCATCGGTATAGTCCTAGTTTTTTTTTTGTACCTTTGCACCAAACTCATCCCCTGGAAGGTGAGGCCTTTGTTTGTTGAGACCTTTCACTTGGGGGTCTAGTGCTTATTTATAATCATCCCATTCACTGTGGAGGTCTCTTGAAAAAATGCAAGGACTAAGCTGTTAAAATGATGCAATATTTAAATGACTTTGTGGAAATGTTCTGGAATGACCTTTTTATTGGAATCTTATGGAAGACACAGAGGGAATATGAAATTTGAGAAGATGCAGTTCATTTTTGCTATATATCCTATTAATTTATCAGATTATAAAAAAGAAATTGAAGACCTATTTTTGTACACGAATTTAATAGAGTAGTGTGAATGGTTTACTGAGGAGTTCTGGTTGGGTTGCTCTTTGATGATATGGAGGTGTTTGAGGATGAGGGGTGTGTATACATGGTGATGGAGCTGCTACGTGGTGGAGAACTGTTTGACAAGATCCAGGAGGAGAGATTCTTCTCAGAGAAGGATGCTGCTGCCATCCTCTACATTGTTGCCTCCACAATCAACTACCTCCATGCCAATGGGGTGAGTTGGGTTTTGTTGCATGTTAATGGTCAGAAATATGACCTCATACTGGAGCAGGATCAAGGCTTTTGCTACAGAATTGAGTAGGATGCTGTATGTTTGTGAAGAGGTGCAAAATCATATTTTGACAAATGCAAAGCACTTACTATTCATAACCTATTTGCTATTTTGTGTATTTAGCTTCCAATCCTGAACAGGCTGAGGTCCCACGTAGTGGTTGGTCAATTCTATTTTTTATTTGTTTTTTTCTTGTCGACATATCAATTCGTTCCCATTTTTATGCAAGAATCGGTCCAATTCGTCGAAAATTTTCGATCTTCGTTTTTCCACGCATCGCTTAAAGATGGACAGCGAGTTATGTGTTGGGTTTACGTCCGGACTATTTGTGGCCAGTCGATCGTTTCTCATACCTGCTGTTCCAAAAATTGTTTCGCTACCCTACTTGTGTGCTTGGAATCATCGTCTTGCTGGAATCTTTTTTTTATTGCACCAGGAAGTAGATGTTCTTGAAGAATTTGAGCGTAGTAGTAGCCGTCTATGTTCCTTCTGAATGAATGGCACCATACCTGGCCTTTAATCCTTTAACTTGGAAGTTTTTTCGCCGTCCAAACAGGCCAGTAGAAGAGCCCTCCTATTTCGATGATTCCGTAACAATCGGTGGAAATCATGGAACCCTCTTTACTGGGAGTGCGGATAGTTGTCCGAGGCACCGTGTGCTTATGGAGTAGACCCGACTTGATATGAGGACATTCCACACTTTACCCTTTGACGTATTCGCAAATCTGGTATGACTCCATACTGAAGCAGGACCTCTTCTTGGGGATGGAAACTTTCGAACCCAGTCGACCCTTCCACAAGAGTAGGGATTCATCTATGGCAATACAGTGGTCAAGAAGGTATGTATCCTGGAAGCGTTTCGCAAGGTAGTCCAGAACAGGGCGAATCTTGAACAGCCTTGAATTGGGATCAGTCTCTGGATCAAAATTGTATTTGAAGTGCAACAAAGAGAGAGATTTTTAAGTCGCCGCTCCGACATGACTACTCGGGAAAAGGGCGCCTTCGCGATTATCTTTTAGCTGAAGTACATACCGTTCATAGACTCCTGCACAATTCTTTGTAGAATTAGTAAACCAATCAGAATTTTTATTTCCTGTCCATTAGTGTCGGCCCAGCACTTGTACCGACTGCGAGGTCCCAGTTCACTAATAGCGCTTTCTCCTATGCGCTGTTTAGCGTAGAGATTGGTTTGCCGTGCAGCATAGACAGCAAGCTCATTGGTCGGAAAAGCCTCAAAGGCATCAATAAGGTCTAGATCCTCAGCAAAATCAATCAGAATCCCGTCCTGAGCCGTAAATTCAAAGGGCGGGCGTTTCTCGGCCACGCGAACCCAGTCCCTGGTAAGCACATCACAATCACCACCTCCTTGTATCTCCATGTCTTCGCTTCCATCATCGCTGCTTTCACCATCTCATGTTTCTTCGTATTCTTCTTTTGAGATTTTTCTCTCGTTCCTCAAAAGCAAATTTATGTAAAGATTTTGTCACTGTAATGCTCGCCCTCGAGCACACCTTCTCCCACGTGATGACATTGGTATCGATCAGCTGACTACTTAGGGAGAAAATCCATCCTAATCTTAGCTACATGGAAAGGCTGAGGACGAGTTGCCTCATCCTGTGAGAAACAGGTAGGATATGCCTGAGCCACCCTAAGCAAAGAATACCCAGTCAGCGTAGCGAATTCGAAACCTACTGGCGAAAACGTCAAAAGTCGTCCATCCCACTTTTATGTAGTATCAGGTTAATTCATAAATAATTTCCGTTTGTTGCCAACTGTTTTGGAACGATTGTAACTTGTTTCAAGTTTGACGCGATAAATCGTGTTATATGTCATTCGATCGAGAAAACTGTAGACTTTTTGATAATATGCAATTTATTGTCTTTCCAATTTTATGTTGAAATAATAGGGGTAAAATGGATGATGAAAAAAACGCATTTTCGGCAGTGCATTTTGAGGGAGTTCCAGCAAGGCTCAAATGCAACGGAGACAGCGAGGAAGATATGCACCTTCTTTGGAGAGGACACCATCACCGATCACCAGTGCAGGAATTGATTCACA